ATGTCTAATGTTTAAAGTGCATGATGTAGTGTATAGATCATTGTATGTATTTCTTATTTTGCAGTGATTTGCGGTAGACGAGTAGATGGAACCTGGACCACCCTAAAGGTGAAGGGAGGTGCAATGCTGGAGGGTATCAGGATTCCGTAGTGTTGGTGTGTTTTGGTGGGCAGTCTTATCAAGTGCCTGGCATAGGTAAAGGTATGCTACATTTTTTTTAGGTGTTGGCTGGAATGCTTGCCTCTTTTTATCGTCTGGTATTAGGGACTGTTGGATCTAACGTTTTAGTGATTGTTGGGCTGGGTGATTGCCCTCCACGTGTTTGGGTCATGTTCTCTTGATCCGAGGTGTTTTGCTTCTCCAGTCATCTTTTCTATTTTTCTTTTTGGATCAAACGCTGGGGTTGACTCTGGGTGTCCTTGGATTGGACGTGTAGGGGTCGGCCTGGGAGGTCCACCTTTTGGTGGGTCTTCAATGATGCTCCAGGTTTTTTACGGCCAAGTCCACCAACACGTTATATGACTATCCACCCGTTGTTTTTGGGGCTGATATTTCCCCCCTCCTGTGTTCTCCTGATTCTCGGCAGAGGTGTGTCATGGGGAACCAGCTTTTGTTTACCTAACAGATTGCTGTGAGATGGGCAGTGATAATGCGATGTTTGCCTTCTTAGTAGAATTTATCTGTCAAAAATCTGTTTTTATTGTTTTTGACTCCTCTTGGAAAATGTACATTACTGTTTTAAAATTTTTTTTTGGGTGGCACATACAGTTTGGTCTGCATGTGCAAAATACTGAACTTTGGTGTTTGGCTTACTTCATTCAAAGGACATTCCTCAGGGGGCATTTCGTACAATGTTAACTTGCTCTTTCTTAAGTTTGACCTTGATGTAATTTAGGTAGAATGCTTCAACGCCAGTGACTGGCCAGCGCTGTGTTGTCTTGTTGTGACGGTGCCTTTTCCTATCACAGTTGTCTAAATGAGATTGACTGTGGGACTCGTTTGGCATAGGAACTTGATCACTGTTTTGTTCGGCGAAGTTTCACATGGTCTGCAATCTAGTACCTCAGTTTGGAAAATATACATATTGTGTATCAAAAGAAAACCGTGATTGTATGGTTGGTCATTCCCCTGTTAATCTTTTTTTGCCCTTTAGCCTAGACCTTAAATGTGGGGGTTTATTTTACTTTCTTTTTCCGTTTGCCTAGCGGTTTTGTCCATGTAGTAGCTCCTGCTAGCAGAGCGAGACCTTTGGTTGGGGGTGGGGAGGGTGTTAGGCAGGGTTCTGCATGCAGTGTAATCTACATTAGTGGAGAAGTTGCCCATAATAGTATGGCTTGTTATAATCGTACAAAGCATAATTTTTTTAATAAAAATTTATAATGTGCATTTGGGGGTACTGTAAAAGTTACTCTAACTTAATTATAAAAAAATTCCTGTTGGTATTTATTTTTCCAACTGTGTTTTGGTACGTAGGGTAAGGTGGTGGGGGAGTCACGTGGAGTCTGCTTGGCATGGTGGCTCGGCATCGGGAGACGAAGATGCTGTTGTATTAAGCTAAGTTTGTAGTTGTGTATCCCTTTTGTTTAGCTAACTTTTAAAGCCATAGGCTCTTCTATGGCTTACCTGTATGCTCACCTAGGCTTGACAGGGTCAGGGTGCGTGGGTGAGTGAGGAAATAAGAAAATGTGGTTGGTATTGGAAGTAGTGAAGGCCTGGCGCTGACTAGGCCGAGTGTAGTGTTTTATGGTTACTGACGCCAGCCGTCTTGCTTCTTGTGCTGTTATGTGGGCGTTTAGGATTGGAGATTCATGAAAGTGTTTCTAGAGTGTTTATATAGGGTTATGTTGAATAAATAGATTATTTTTCTAACTAGGATTTTTTGCCTAACCTGTTTAATCCATTTTGGACTGTTTCCAGGCCCCTCTCTGAAAACTGTATTTTATGTCGCTCAATTTTTGAAAAAAAAAAAAAAATTTTTTTCTTATGAAATGATAGAGAATCTTTTCCCGATGGTAATGACACCAAAAGGTTCGAAATTTGGTCGAAATCTCGTGGAATATGCTCACGCTAAGTTGCGGTCTCGGCATCCATATGCGTATCGCGATTTTCGCGACTTTGAGCCCTATTTTCAGCCAATTCATTGTTCCAGTTGACCTAACTCATAGCTATTTCTTTTGAATCCATTTTATCTATCAGCTGGAGTACAAGAAACCTCCCAATTTACTAATTTGGATACCCAATTTGGGTGGTCAGAAAATTGGCAATTTGGCCATTTTCACACAAAATAAAAATAGATGCCAATTTTCTCAAAATAGGGTCCAGAATAAACAAGGTAGACATTCGTGGCAATTAATAATAACATATGCTTGTTCATTAGTCACATCTCTAAGCCCTTCTTATATTATTAATTGTTTCTATTTTGATTTTATATTCATACTAAAAAATACAAAATTTACTGTTTTGCAGACGACTGCATTATTGTAAAAAATGGTATAAATAATATCAGTGCATAGTGAAAGATATTAGACTCCCCAGTTGACGTGTATTGGTCGTGTGGTGTGATGTATTTACTCTTGTACATTGGTAAAAATCGCACAGTTTCCGCTACTTGAGCTCAGTTTCAACGTCGTTTTACATCGTAAAGTAATGAAAATCATCTCTATTTCTGTAAAATGTTTTTCCATTTTATTCACCTAAGACCATGGAAAACGCGAATACAACGTTAAATACTATATGAAAATACACCTCAAAGTCGGCGTTTTATTCCAAAAAAACGATCAGAGTTTTTTTTTTCTCATTACGCAATGTGTGCTGCAGGATTTTTTTTATGTGGTGCACACTGACCACACAGACCCATTCTCTCACATGTGGGCATACCAGCTTTCTCCCACTTGATTTGAAGCCGCTAGAATTATTGAGTATATATACGTCACGAAGAAACTTTGGCTCTTATGACGTATATATACGTCGAAAACAGTCAAAGGGTTAACCAACCCATTGAAGTACAAATGATGTTTTAGTGCTTTCTGTTTTACTGGGATAGCCCTGGGTGGCCTGTTTATGCTTGAGATGAGTGTAACTTTTACCTTTGCCCTTAGACAAGGCTCTAGTCCCCAGCTATCCCAACTTTCTGAGTAACAGTGGCATCCTGGGAGACAAGATTGAAGGACCACAATGGAAGTAAGGTCAACAGTCCCCAGTGATGCATAGACTTTCCTGAGTTATCCTGGGTGCTAACCCCTAGATAAATTCCCATAAATCTATTTAACAATACTTGTTTGGTACATGGCAGCCAATCCAGTAATTATAATTAGTAATACATTGTTACCTCAAGTTCGAACAGCTCCCAACTCGAACAATTGTGTAAATATATTTTTGTAAGTGCTTTTGTAAGTGTATTTTTGGGGATCTGAAACGGTCTAATCTAATTTGCTTTATTCCTTATGCGAACAAATTCATTCAGTATCGGCATTCGAACAGCCTTCTGGAATAAATTAGGTTCGTAACTCGAGGTACCACTGTATCTTATTTCTACAAGTGTATGTACAAGGTATACAGACCATAGCTGACATCCAGTGACATGCTGCTATATAGAAAGCCCCTTGTTATGCAGAGTATTTCCCACAAATTAGGTCACGTTTGTCCCAGGATGTGACCCAGACCAGTCGACTAACACTCAAGCACCCACAGTGGACCCTCGCCTAACGTTGGCATCACATAACGTTAAATCCGCCTAGCGATACATTTTAACGCAAAAATTTTGCCTCGCCTAGCGCTAAATAAAAACCGCTATCAACGCGATTCGTCTGAGATGCGTCCATGTGCGGCTGAAGCCAGCCTAACTTGTTTCCGCCGGTTGGCATTGTTTACAAGCCAGGTGCCGGTTTTGCATGCATACATTCGATACAGTTTGTATATTCATTATTTATAGTGCTTGTTGTAAACTGCTAAATAAGTCACCATGGGCCCAAGAAAGCTTCTAGTGCCACCTGTGGTAAAAAGGGTGATAAATACTATCGTCCACAGTCACTGCTGCTGCACTACGGTCAGCTGTTGCTGGACCAGTCAGCTGATTGCTGGATCAGTCAGCTGTTGTTGCACCATGGTCAGCTGTTTGCTGGATCAGTCAGCTGCTTGTGCACCATGGTCAGATGTTGCTGATCAGTCTGCTGTGCCTGTTCCACGGTCTGCGCTGCTGTACCACGGTCAGCTGTTGCTGGACCAGGTCAGCTGTAGATGGATCGTCAGCTGCTGCTGGATTCAGTCAGCTGCTGCTGCACCACGGGTCAGCTGTTGCTGGACCAGTCAACTGTTGCTGGACAGTAGCTCTGGTGCACCCTCAGTAGCTGTTGCTGGACCAGTCTGCTGCTGCTTCACCACGTCAGCTGTTGCTGGACCAGTCAACTGTTTGCTAGATCAGGTCTCAGCTGCTGCTGCTGCACCTGGCTGCTTGATTGCTGGACCAGTCAGCTGTTGCTGGACCAGTCAGCTGTTGCTGACCCAGCCAGACTGTTGCTGGACCAGCAGCTGTTGCTGGACCAGCCAGCTGTTGCTGGACCAGCCAGCTGTTGCTGGACCCAGCCAGCTGCTTGCTGAACATTGTCACGCTGCTTGCTGCACCACGTGTCAGCTGCTTGCTGCACCACAGTCAGACGGTGGCTGCACCACCATCAGCCTGGACTACTCAAAGATGTGGCGAGTGTGTTGTTGTGTGTGGCTTAACGTGAAAAACAATTTCCGAGAATAGATTAACCCAGGGCGTTAGCCACCCAGGATAACCCAGAAAGTCAGTGCTCACTAGGACTGTCAACCTTTATTTCCATTGGGGTCCTTAATCATGTCCCCAGGATGCGACCCACAACAGTCAACTAAACCCAGGTGCTGGAACAGGAAAAAATGCTGGAAACTAGTGTCTCTATGGTGATTTAGGCGCAGCAAAGGTGGTTTGAGAGATTAAAGAATTGCTAGTGGCATACACAGTGCAGTTAAGGCATGGCCAAGCTGAAAAATTCATCCACCCAAAAGTGTTCGTTGTGAGGAAACTGACCTGTTCTGGAAGAAAATGCTCAAACAGGGACCTACGTTACTCAGTAGAATGGCACAACTCCCAGGGACACAAGCGTATGAAAAGACAGGTAAACTCTCTTGTTTTGTGTAATGCCTAGTGGAAGGATTGCAGTAGTGAAGTTTTACTGGTGTTAATCACTCCTGAAAATCCCAGTGTTCAAGGAAAAACAGTGTCTCATCACTCATCAATTACTCTTCAATAAAGGGTAAGTGTAATTTTAACATTTATTTATGTAGTTATTGTGCATGTCTTATTGTTTTCTTTGTAGAGAAATGTATATTTCATGAAAAAAAAAATTTAATACTTTTGGCTGTCTGGAATGGATTAATTGGTTTTCCATTATTTTTTTGGGGGAACAAATTACTCGGTAACGATTAATTTCAGCTAAACGTGACAGCTCTCAGGTACGGATATTATATCGTTAGGCGAGGGTCCACTGTATTTTACTGATAGGTGAACATGGCAGCAGGTGTCTAAAGGAAACACATCCTAATGTATCCAGTCGTACCGGGCATCAATCCCTGGACCTCAGCGTGTGAGCTGAGTGCGCTTCCAACCCAGCTATGAGGCACCTGCATTTTAAGTACAATGTACTCATACCTGTGTACTATGATACAACTGTACTCGAGTTGATGTGAGTAATTATTATGAATACCTTCCAAATACAATGAATATCATTGGTAACAGTCACCATTGTTAGCTAGTTACCTAGGTGGCAGGTTTGATGACATGTTAATTGTAACCAAGACTTATCCAGCAAGCTATAAAATTTCTGTCTTAGGTTAGTGATGCCGATATTTTAACAGAATTTATATATGGGAGAACTTGTGACATCAGTGAGATGGCTGATATATACTGCTGGGCGAACAGGGGTGGCAGGTGTAAGAAGGCTTACCCATGCTTCAGTGGTATATGGTGTAAGAAGGCTTGCATGCTTCAGTGGTATATGGTGTAAGAAGGCTTGCCCATGCTTCAGTGATATTTGGTGTGAGAAGGCTTGCCCATGCTTCAGTGGTATTTGGTATGAAAAGGCTTACCCATGCTCCAGTGGTATTCAGTAAAAGAAAGCTTGCCCATGCTTCTGTTGCACCTTGCCCCTATTGTAGTTGGGTAATGGGTATGTAATAGACTGTACAGATGATCCTCACTTCATGAGGGTTCGACAGTGCAGTAGTGATGCACAGTGGTGGTTTATCTGTGTTTAACCAAATTTTCCCAAGCCCATCATGTCTACTAAATGCCCAAGTGTCTCTCCTGCTTGCGAGGGGGCCTTGGGACTTGCAGGGAGGCGGCCATTGAGCGTGTTCGATAGGAGTGAATGGAGACGAATGGTATTTGGGACCTGACGATCTGTTGGAGTGTGAGCAGGGTAATATTTAGTGAAGGGATTCAGGGAAACCGGTTATTTTATATAGCCGGACTTGAGTCCTGGAAATGGGAAGTACAATGCCTGCACTCTAAAGGAAGGGTTTGGGATATTAGCAGTTTGGAGGGATATGTTGTGTATCTTTATATGTATATGCTTCTAAACTGTTGTGTTCTGAGCACCTCTGCAAAAACAGTGATTATGTGTGAGTGAGGTGAAAGTGTTGAATTATGATGAAAGTATTTTCTTTTTGGGGATTTTCTTTCTTTTTGGGTCACCCTGCCTTGGTGGGAGAAGGCCCCCCGACTTGTTGAAAAAAAAAAAATTCAAACTTGGGGTATTTTCAACTTATGGGAATGGGTTTGTCGGAACGTAACCCCATTGTAAGTCAAAGACTACCTTTACAGTAAAAATCTTTTACAATAAGACTGCAACTTAGAAACATGTTGAGAATTTTATGTATTGTATATATGATTATTGTGTATAATATCATTATTATACACAATTCAGGAGGTCCCCAATGTGTTCGTAAATTCAAGACTTACTGTTTTTACTTTTTAATTTGTTTTTAACAAATTCAGCTGTTGTTCTGGGCAGTACCAGTTATCCAAATCTGGCAGTAGGTCCTCATATGTCTCTATGGATCCTCGTTGCACAACCTCTCCGATGCCTTTGACCAAAAGTTATGCATGGTTCCTATTAGAGTCAAGAGGGTTTGACAACCTATATGCTATGGTAAGGTTTGACAGCTATTGTATGGGGAGACTTGCCAGCAATGTCTGATTAAAAGTCACTATGTTCATAGCAAGGATTAATAAATCCTGAATTTCACTTTGATAGTATTATTGTTTACTTTTAAATTTGACCATTGTTCTTAATCTACCTCTTGTTTTGTACATTTAAGAATGCCTGCTTAACCTGCATCTAGTTCTTAAGTACTCTTTAAGGTTACTGTATTATACAGTATGAAGGACCTCCCTCTTCCCTTCCCTCCCATTCTGACTGGCTAAATTTTGAAAAAAAGGATAAATGATATCCATGGTATAAATTACTATATTGACATGGAGATGGGAAGTACATTGCTGCACTCTGAGGAGGGTTTAATGTTGGCAGATTTAAAAAACTGTCTTGTGGGTAAAGCACCTTCTGGTCAAAGACAGTGATGGATCGTGAATGATGGTGTTGAAAAGTTTTTTCTTTTTCGGGCCACCCGCCTTGGTGGAATTCGGCCAGTGTGATAATAAAAAAAATATAATTTATACAGAATGGGGGGTTTTAGCCCCTTGCTCTGGCATTTCAGTCACCTCTTACAGCACCACATGGCTTATGGGAGGAAGGATAATATGTTGAAATTATGCCTAAAATGTAGATTGTATTTCAGGCTGGTTCAGGATATGGACTTGTAGTGTTGGGGTTTTGACACTACTCGACTGGACTCACACTGCGTCTAATATCGTTTTCTCGATTAATGAAACTCATTTGGGGAGAGTTATTGAGAAGCAACCAGATCAGTCCCTTCATTAAACCAGCGTAACTTGCTTACAAAATATATCTCATTTTGTTTATTTTTGTTTTTTCTGTTTATTAACGCTTTCACTGTCAAGACCCCCCTCCCCCTACAAACTTCTTCTCAGTGTCGAGAAGTTAAAAAAAATAAATTATTTTATCCTTGAATGGTTAACAATCTTTTTCCAATGGTATGAAACAAAATATGAAATTTGATGGATAACTTCACACCCCCCTCGGAAATTACGCTTCCGCGAAATTAGCGGTTTCGGCATTATATATGCATTGGCAGTTTTGCTCACTTTGATGCCCTATTTTGGGCCAATTCCATTGTTACCTGTGAACCAAACTCATGGCTATTTAGCTAGAACAACTTTCTTCTATCCGATTGAGTACAAGAAACCGCACATTTACAGATCTCATATACCAATAAAGTTTTATCGGTTAAGTTGGCCAATTTCATACCACAATTCGGGGAAGGCCAATTCAAAATAGGGTTCCAGAATTACAATGCAGACATACCTAGCGCTAAAATAACATTTTCTTTGTTTGTTCGTCACATTCCAGGGGCCCCCCCTTTTATATTAGCTTTCTTCGTTTTGTATTGTTATTCACATAAAAATATAAGATTTACTGTTGTTGCAGACTACTGCATTATTATAATAATTGTATAAATATGTCAACCCATTTGTGACTGTGTATTAGACTGGCCAATTGGGACACGTATTGAACATAGGCAAAAAATTGAAACATTTCTGCTACTTTGAGTCAATTTCAGGTATCCTTTTCATCGTGAGACCAATCAAAATCATCTCCATTTCTGTAATATATCTTCCATTCTATCAATTGAGACAAGAAAAAGAGAATAGCCCAGCTAGTAAATACCATACAAAATACATCACAAAGTCACGTTTTAAACCCAACAACACGGTCGGAGTTTTTTTTTCCTCATTGTGCACTGCGTTTGCTGCAGGATTTTTTTTTTTTATATTGCGCACACTAAACCACGCAGGACCCATTTCTTTCATATGTAGCCTTACAGCCCTTTTTCCACCAGATTTTAAGAAATAAGAAGAACATAAGAAAGGAAGGAACACGTAACAGGGCCTTCTACTGAACCCATGTGGAGCAAGGTCCATGTCCCCCCCTGGGATTAGACCATTAAACCCCCCCCCCCAATTTAGCCCAATGACCCACCCAGTCTGGTCACCTCAACTCAAGGATGAGAGCAGCACATTGCACCATTGATTTCAAAACCCTGTATATTTGCCAATTTGAAGCAGGAATTACCAATGGGATGTTTTGTCTCGCTTTGTGTTTCATTAGTACCCACTGGTGGTGTACTACCTGGTTATGTCCCCTGGTTGTACACTTCCCTGGTTTCTCCAGTACTGGCTGTGCATTTGTTTGAGTTATTCGGCTTGATGCCATCCTGTCTCTCTACCATTCCCCGTTTGTCTCTTACTTTGTTTTGATCTTTTCTCTTTTTGTCTAAATAAAAGAAGCTGTTCAATGTCCCTTCTTGCTAACTCTGAAGTGCCGAGTTCCTTTTACATGATGGTCTGGGCCAGCTCAGGTAGAACATTCTCTGGACTGCGTTGAAGCTTTTATACACATTAATGGATGGAAGTATACAGTGGTCCTCAGTCTAACGATGGCATCAGCTAAATTAATCCAGGTAACGATACATTTTAATGCAAAAATTTTCCTCGGCTATAACTCTTAAAAAAACATTGCCCAACGCGATTCGTTCAAGACGCGTCCACATGTGGCTGTAGCGCGCTCAGTTGTCCCGTGGGTACCAGTGTTTACAAGCCAGCCAGTTGTGGTCGCATCCACGCATGACAATCGGAACATGTCATATTATCACAGCGTTTTAGTGACTTGTACCTGCTAAAATAAGTTCTACCATGGCCCCTGAGTGAAGCTTCTAGTGCCAACCCTGTGATAAAAAGGGTGAGGAATTAGTATGGGAAATTAAGAAAGATTTTGAAAGGGTTTGGGGCTCTATCCCTGAGAATGCTATGCCAGTTGTGGAATCCATTGTGGCCTACTTCAAGATTAAGGAAATGTGTGCAAAGTGGGTTGAACTGCAAACCTATTTGAATGAAAAATCCACCCTTAACACATCTATTGCAAGCCGTGCTGATGCTATTACATTGGACATCTGTTGTGGCCATTTTAGTGCAAATCTCTTAAAGGAACGGGGGGTACACAACTCTATTGACAGATTTGTTGGTGGACAGAGGTCCAGTGACTCTCAAGTGGTCCTAGTGGCATTAAAAGAAGAGGGATGTTAACCCCCCCCCACCGGGTAAAGGACTTGATACCTTAAGTCCTAATGGAAGGGGATTACCCTTCTAAACATTAACAACTTCCACACTCTCCCCTCCTCCCAACCCATCAATCATCACCAGATCTTCAATAAAGGTAAGTGTCAGTTTGTGTGTATTAAAATTAATATTTCATGTGGTAAAAAAATTTTTTTTTTTTTTTTTTTTTTTTTCATACTTTGAGGTCTTGCATGAAATAATTTGATTTCCATTATTTCTTATGGGGAAAATCCAATTCAGCAAAACCGATGAAGCTTTCAGGAATTGGGATTAATATCGTTAGCTGATGGTCCACTGTATTTGCACTCTTTGTTGAAACGACACTTTCCCTTCCTCAACATGTTCGCACATTTTCTGGTGTATTTATTCCAACAATCTCTGCCATATAGGCACCATTACCTTTAGCCATAGTAACTGCAATGTTCTGACTACCTATATTTATTGATTCCGTGTCGTTCCCTAAGTTCTGCCACCTGTTCTGGAGTTCCCCTTGGTTCACTTTCTTCTTGGATAATTTCTTCCTCCAATGAATAGCTGGGGATGCCACAATACATGTGAGACAACACAGTAATGTGTCCAGGACCCAAGACTGTTCAGCGGCCTTCCCTCAGTATATAAAAAGGGGGATTACCATTAGACACTGTCTGTCTCGCAAGAAGGAACCGGACAGGGACTTGAGTGTCAGTACCTGACAGCCGGGGCTGTGGGCCGGCCAGCAGTAACAGCGTGGTAATCAGGACCCTGATTCCACCATCGAGGCCTTGTCTCAGACCAGGCCACAGGGGCTCATTGACCACAAACCCTCTCCTTGTAAGCCATGTAATAGAATCAGGGCAGCATTTCCAAGACAGCTTAATAATAGTACCAGGGATAGTGGAATAATATACCATGATTCCTGATAGCATCATTGGTATTTGATAATATTATCTATGACAGAGGTATCCTGATAATATCATGCTGTAATGGCCTGACGAAGCTCCTGGAGAGTGAAACACTGCCACAATGAAATGTCACATTAGTTGCACATGTGTCCTTTTATCTAACATTTACAAATCCGGCATAAGCTTCTTTCTCCTATGTGTTGGTTATTTGTGTATTACCTTATTGTATTTTTAATTTCATTAAAGTATTGGGCAAAGTCACCGAGTTATCCTGATGGCAGGTTCAGCGACTTGTTAGAATGTAACTATGGGTTATGCTATGAAATTTAGATTAATGTTAAATTAGGTTAGGCTAGGTTACATTAGGCTAGGTTCAGATTAGTAAGTTTATTCAGGTACAGGTACACAAATACAATTACATACATAAATTATCATACATAGGAGCATTTGTGTAGATTACCTAGAATAACCCAAGAAAGTCAGTGACTCATTTCCATTGGGGCTTAGAATTAGGGTAGATTAATTCTTGCTGGTAGTGTTACTAAATTTATATATGGGGGAATTTGTCATGTAGGAATAATATCAGATTTTTTCTGGGCAGTCGATAGACTTTGAAAACATGAGTGGTTCACTGGCACATGCACAATTATTCACTTCTTGTAAGTATTTGTAGCAACATTTACATTAGAGAAGGTTAGTGGTCTAGCATCTAGTTTGCTAAATAGAAACCACCATTGAACTGCCTTGCTAGACATATCACAGCAATATATTTTTAATTTGCAGATTTGTGGTTTACATGTGAGTACAGCCTCTCTTCATTTAGCGATGTACTCATTTATTCGACGACTCGGATTTATGATGAGCTCTCCGGCAGTATGACACCTTAAAGTATTGTATGTTAGAGCTGATTTCCTCTATTCTGTTTTCATTACACTATACTGTACACTCCTGTATATACATTTTTAAAAATAAACAGAAATGTTTATTATATGGTGCAAAGGGTGACATTAAAACA